TTTACAGCAAGTGAAGGGATATCTGTGCTAACTGTTACAGCCCGTCAATATCTGCCTTGCACCCACTTGGGAGTGCAGCTTACCAGCATTTGGTTAATCTGTGATACCTGACTCATAGCAACATGGTACAGAGAGAGGGAAATGATGGGCATATCCAGCCTTCTAGGGCATATCCAGCCTTCTCCCATCTCTTCATTTCTTCACGGTCACTCACATTCCCACCAGCAGTGTCTGATAGTTCCAGGTCCTCTACACAATCCCAATACTTAGCAGGCCCTTATTATTAAGAGCATTTTACTTTCCCTGGGTATAAAGTGTGTGTGTGTGTGTGTGTGTGTGTACATATGTGTATGCATCTGTCTCTGCATTTGTGTGCATGTCTGTACTATGTACATGTGTCTGTCTGTGTGTGTCTGTGTGTGCTGTGTTCGTGTGTGTGGTGTGTGTGTGTCTATGTGTGTGTTATTCATGAGAGGCAAATGCTCTACCTACCTCTGATTTATTTTCAATCTTTGTATGTTTTTTATACAACTCTTTTAGAAGAAACTTTAAAAATAGATTCTAAAAGTCACATGGAAAAGCAGTGTACCCTGCCTGGACAGCTTCAAACCAAAAGACATTAGAAGATCATATTATCCAACACTAGCTATTTCCAGGCTTATCATAAAGCTACCCTGATCAAGACAATGTGGAATAAAAACAAATAGTCAGTGGAACAGAGTTTCAAGGCTAAATGTAGAACAACACATGACTTGAAGGTGTCAACACAATGCCAGGAACAAAGGACAATCTCTTTAATCAGAACAACTGAACCAAAAGCATAGTGTTGACCTTAGTCATTACCTTATACCACATATGAAACAGAAAGATAACAGATTAATATATACAGCAGACAACCCTGACCAACCACCTAATTTGTGGACTCCAATGCAAAACGAAAACTCACTTTCCCTTGTTCAAATATTGCTAAAACAGTTAGGCATGGTGATGTATAGCTATAATCCCAGCGGGAGAAGCAGGAGCACAAGCCTAGCCTCTGCCATACTGTGAGTTTGAGGCCAGCCTCAGCTACATGAGAGCCTTTCTCAAAATCAAAAGTAACGAAATAAATAAAGTGGTTAAGAATTTCAAGATGGCAACTGAAGAGCGCTGGCCCTTCCAATCATGTGACTCTCTATATATGCAGAAGTTACATGCCACAAAAGCAGACCTGCTTGGAAACATTGAACTCTTAGACAAAAACAGTAGAAAAGCTTCCTTACCTTGTGTTAGGAAAAGTGGTTTACATTCCCAAGAGAATAAATTGATAAACTCAACTTTGTTAAAATGAAAACATAAACAACCGCTCCCCAACGAGAAGGGTTGAGTGAACAAAAAGACAAAGCAGAGATGAGGAGATATTTGCCAAAATTAATAATGAATTTAACATCTAACTTGTTAGATGCCACACATAGTCCCCAGGACTTACCCTAATTTTTATAGAGAGACCACACAACATATACTTACTGAAGTGTATGTGTCATAAACATAAATAAAAACGTTCTACAGGTATTCAAATAATATGAAAGTATTAAGATGAGAAACCTAAATTGAGTGCAGACTGTCAGCACTCACTAAATTTTCTCTCTTCCATTTTTTTTCTGGCTTTAATATGAGAAATGCTTTTGAAAATTACCTGCTTCTAATGCCTTTTTAAAAAAATCCCCCCAAATAAGGCATTTTGATGACCATATCTGCCCACCCACATTCAATGTTTAAGGTCCTCTTCTTATTTGCCTTTTCTAAGACCAAGGACACCAGGAAGTCATCAGTATTTCCTAGATGCACATCAGCAACCCCAGCACAGGTTTTCTGTGCCTGATAAGAGCAGCCTTGAACTTGAATTATAATTCCCCAGCTCACTCTTGGAGCAAAGGACAATCCAGCCAGAGTCCATAAGGATTCCCAGTGCCTGCAAGAATGCATGTGTCTCCTGTGATCCTTCTGACATCTAAGGGAAGTAGGGCATGGGAACATGTATTTCTGTGTGTCTGGGCCCACCTGCTGGTCCCTTGCAGGCCTTATAGAAAGTAGGATAGGTCCTCAGAAGGCCTACAGGCTGAACAGTGCAGTATGTTTGGGTGCTCTTATAAACAAGGGGGCACAGGAAATCTAAGTATTCAGCAAGGGTCTGCCCCTCTAGACAACCCCGCAGATCTCTTCATCTGGAGGCTGGGTATATGCATGTCCCCAGTATGGAGGCTCCCTGATGTTATTCAATGAATTGTTTCATTCTGGATTTCCATTGAGGTAAATTCGGAATCTTTGGCACTTCCACAGCAATGAGTTTTGGCTAGCCTTCTTCATTTTTTGTTTGTTTGTTTTTTGAGACAGGGTTTCTCTATGGCCTTGCAGCCTGTCCTGGAACTCACTTTGTAGACCAGGCTTTGTAGAATTCACAGAGATCCACCTGTCTCTGCCTCCTGAGTGCTGGGATTAAAGACATGCACCACCACTGCCCGGCAGCCTACCTCATTTTTACAAGTGTGAGTAAAACACTTTTCTGTAGAAGTCATGGGCAAGCAATGTTTCTTCCTTGAAGCAGTAATAATAACAACTTACTCAAATTATGGTAATTATTGAACATAGATTTTTTTTAACTTCAGTTTTGTTATCATCTAAGTGTCTATATCTAGGAATTAAAAAAAAATACATTGTATGAGCTCTAGTATTCTCTGGTCCCGTAGGACTAGAAGGACAAGATCATATTCCCTAATCCCATTGTCAACCGTTTTATGTAGCACTTTAATTTTTTATTGTCTTCATGCCTTCTGACCTTCAAAACGAAGCCTACAATGGCTGCCTCTGCCTGCTGCAGGGTTTGGGGATCATATTTTTCCTGGGTGTTCTTGATCACCGAAGATCATTCCTTCGAACTCTGCTCCATCATGGTAGCCCAACATTTCTACCTTTAAGCCCTGCAAAGCACAGGCAAGGTGTAGATAGATCTCTGAGACAGCAAAATCCAAGACTTGTCACATATTTCTGACTTTAGGCTTATTGTTGAGAAGGTTAGCTTAGATAAACTGTTGATACATTGTGTGTGCTCTGGATGAAGTGAGGATTTTCCAAAAACATGATAGAACTCCTGTATGTATGTATATATGTATGTTTGCATGTATGTATGTGTTTCCAGTATCAAATGTGATAACAAATACACTAGCTTTTGCGCACCTTGACTTCCTCCCCCACATTCTACCTAAAACCACAGCATTTCCCTCTGTGTGCATTTATATTAAGAACATATACGACTTTGGAAGAGAATGCTACTTTGCATTTTATAACTGATTTTCTTGGTAAGTGTGGATGCAGACTGTACACGAAAGCAAACAAGACTATCCTTTGTTTCCATTAATTAGGGACAGTGGCCTCTAAGGATTTGGGGAGAGGAAGATTGTTGTATCCACCTTAGAAACTGATATTTAATCATCCACTCCATTTCATCAGGAAAAAGGAATGCACTCTGGGAAACTAGTCTCCCAACAGTCATAATGTACATGCATAGCAAAGCAAAATGCCTGCCTAGTGTGGGTATTGGAGTTCTGAGAGGCAGACAGGAGGAGAATGAAGCCCATCCAGGGGTGGCCAGAGAAATGAAGACCGAATCTCTTTCAATTATCAGTGAAAATGAAGGCACCAGTCCGTGTCATGTATGGGAAGAAAGAAAATTCTTGGGTTAATTCATCTCCAAGTGTGTCTAAAGGTGGGAGGGCTCGTAGGGAGAAAACACTCAAAATCCATTTCCCATGAGCGGTGGGTTCTATGCTCATTTGCTATCCAAAGAGCTCGATTTTTTTTTTTTTTCCTTGAAGGGGACACACAAGCAACACTTAATTCCAAACCCCTTGGACTGTCTTTTTTATTTAAAAGCTCTCTCTCTCTCTCTCTCTCTCTCTCTCTCTCTCTCTCTCTCTCTCTCTCTCTCTCTCTCTCTCTCCTCCCTCCTTCCCCTTTTCCTCTGCCTCTCTCTGTCTCTCCTCTCTCTTTCCCCTTAAAGGAACAGGGTGGGTCCAAGCAGGAGCCCAGGGACTGGAGATGTGAATGTTAATATTTTGCAGCCTTTACACGGAAGCCTCTGAACTATTCTTATCCCCTTATTCAAACCAAGGTGGGTTGAAGTATGTGAAGCCATGTATTAATGGCTTAAATTAAGTTAAGGTATGAATTATACATAAATCAGATTAATATTATATGTCATGGTGGAATTTAAAACACTTCGAGTCCGTGCATTTTTTAATTTTTGCGTGTTCTAATTTAATGCCCGCAAAGGAACTGCATGTCTTAAGCCCACTTCTGCATCTGGATAGAGCCAAGAAAAACCCACCACGATCTTGGATCTTGTTTTAAGTGTGTTTTCCTTCATCGGGAACCCTGCATTCGATCCGCTATTCTTTTCCTATGTTTTTTTTTCCTTTTGCCAAGCTTTAGCGTGCATATGTATGCGCACATACATATGGAAAGGCTACTCATTCCATTCCATCATATGGGCTCCGCGATTGTGCAAAGATGAATGATACCAAGTAGGGGTGACATAGACAAATGAACAACGTTGCTTCTTGAAAGCGAGTCCTTCTGAAGGCACTGAATCTCAGGGACGGGTGGCCTGGGGGTTGAGCTCCCCACTTTGAAGAATGACAGGGGACCTGCCAGCAAGGCACAGAGTTTCCCGCAGCCTAGGACGATGGAGAACGCATTCCAGCAGCACATTCCCCTAGTTCTTCGCAGGAACTTCTCTGTCTCTTCCCCTCCCTTGGGCACTCTCCATCCTGGCCCGACTCCCACCCAGTTCTCATTTTCTCAGCTCCCCTCCCATAGCGTTGACGGAATGGAGTGCCCTTCCCATTGGCCCGAGCGTCATTCCCTAAGGTGGCCCTGGCCTCCTGATTGGCTGGTCAATCCCGACCCCGCCCATCCCACACTCCGGTTGCCCGGCGCACCTCCCTCCGCGCCTCCGCCCGCGCGCACAGCTCGCCAGCGTCCGGTTCTCGGGGCGACCCGGCCCGCGCGCTGGCCCCGCCCCCAGGGCGTGCGGCTCTACAAATACCGCTGCGCCGCGAGCCGGGCGAAGCCGTTGAGCTGGGAGGCGCGGTCGGGAGTCGTTACTTCGAGAGGGCAGTCGCCGGCTAGGGGAGCGCGGTGGCGGCGATCCACCTAGTCGGAGCTAGGAAAGGAACGACTCGGAGACCAGGGTGGGCTACTTTATTTTTCTTCCGGGGCTTTTCATTTTTTCTTGTCTTTTGCTTTGAGCCGAGTGTCGCTCGCTGAGAACTGAGATCCCCTTGGCAGAATCCCGAGCGACCCTCCCGTCGATATCTGGGGCTCGGGGTCGCCGGGTGCTGCGAACGTGCCTGACGAGCAGGCGAGGGAGCAAAGCTCATCGCGGGCAAGGACCCAGTGCTCGCTCGACCGCTCGTCCCCCCCCCCCCCAGCGGGTCTCTTCGCGCAGGACGCGCGCGATGAAGGCGGTGAGCCCGGTGCGCCCCTCAGGCAGAAAGGCGCCGTCGGGCTGCGGCGGCGGAGAGCTGGCGCTACGCTGCCTGGCCGAGCATGGCCACAGCCTTGGTGGCTCGGCGGCTGCCGCCGCCGCCGCCGCGGCAGCGCGCTGCAAAGCGGCCGAGGCTGCGGCCGACGAGCCGGCGCTGTGCCTGCAGTGCGATATGAACGACTGCTACAGCCGCCTGCGGAGGCTCGTGCCCACCATCCCGCCCAACAAGAAAGTCAGCAAAGTGGAGATCCTGCAGCACGTTATCGACTACATCCTGGACCTGCAGCTGGCGCTGGAGACGCACCCTGCTCTGCTGAGACAGCCGCCACCGCCCGCGCCACCGCTCCACCCGGCCGGGGCTTGTCCGGCCGCGCCGCCGCGGACCCCGCTCACCGCGCTCAACACCGACCCGGTGAGAAGCCTCGGCGGGCGTCCCCCACCCCCAGGCATCGCGAGGGCGGTGGCGGGGCGGCAAGATACGGGTGGTCCCCCCTCCTCCCAGGGAATGGCAGCGGCTTCCCGGATCTCCGCCGGGAGCCGCCTGCTGGGCTGGGTGATCGCAAGTCCCCGTGCAGGAGCCGGTTGGGACTAGGTCGGAGCCGTGCGCCTCCAGGACTGTCCCTGGCAGCTCAGGGGGCTTCCCCAGCTTAGGACTGGGGTGGGGGACTCCGCTCGCAAGCCTAGTTTCCCAGGACGGCTCCCGGGCGGTGGCGACAGCATCGCCTGCACACGCTAACCTTCCCCTTGGTGTTGGGTTGCTGTTCCAGGCCGGCGCCGTGAACAAGCAGGGCGACAGCATTCTGTGCCGCTGAGCCGCGCTGGCCAGGTGAGCGCTCGGGTCCCGAATTGGGTGGTGGATCACCAGGGTCGCACCTCCCTGGGAGCTGCTAGTGCCAGGCACCACGACGATCTTTGTCTCCCAGCATTTCGGAGCGCAACCCCCCGTGGACACCCACACCTTCTCTGCCACCCAGTTAGTCCGCACTTTCCAACTCGGGTCACCGCCGAGTCTCATCAGTTGCGGTCCCTCCGCCCGCATTCCTCTCGCTGTGACCAACAGGCTCTGCTGATCCCCTTTACCTCTGAGGGAGGGCACCCTCGTGGGCGTGGAAACTGCCCCGGTGTCCCTAGTTCTCCCAGCCCTCCTCCCTACCCCTCATCCCCAGCAGAGCGACCTGATGCCCACAAAGAGAGATGCGGGCAGAGCGCCCCGAAACACGTCCCCTGGCCTTCCCTAGCCCGCATTTGCCTCCTCCCTCGGCTCTTGGCTGGGCTGCGGGCAGCGGGTGTTGTCTGACCCAGCGGTTTGTTTTGGGTTGTTGATCATGCATGTCTTGAGTTTGGTCGGTGGCGCCAGTTAGTCTGCAGCGAGATGGTTCACACACCCCCTCTATTCATTCCTCTTCCACAGGTGTGCTACCGCCCGAGCGAGCGTGAGCGAGCCAGGAGCCCCAGAAAGGGAGGGCCAGAGCAGAAATTAAGAGAAAAAAGCCACCGGAGGAAAGGGGGGAAAACAACCTTCAGCAAATCTAGAAATGTTGTCTCGTCTCAGTCTCATCATTCCAAGAGAGAGAGAGAAAGAGAGAGAGGAAAAAATAATAAAACTTTCATTCACTTTTAATTTTTTGCACGTTCACAAGCTTACTCCGTACGTATTCTCTTTTGTTTCTTTTATAACCGCTGTGAATTGTACATTTTTGTGGTTATTTTTATCACCCTTTCGGAGGTGTAGTTAAACTTTGAAGCTTAAGTGTGACAGGACAGGACTGCTAAGTAGAAGACCAATAGTGAATCCAACTGTAGAGGCTACATTGTGACAAGGGAACTGTTTTTGTTTTTGAAGCTTTACTAATATACCAGAGCATTGTAGATACGTTGTTTTACATCTATTGTTTAAAATAGATGATTATAACAGGGCAGGGAACTTTTTCTCTGCAAGAATGTTACATATTGTATAGATAAGTGAGTGACATTTCATACCCTGTATATATAGAGATGTTCTATAAAGTGTGAGAAAGTATATGCGCTTTAATAGACTACTGTAATTATAAGATATTTTTAATTAAATATTTTTTGTAAATATTATGTGTGTGGTTTTTTTAATCTATGGGAATATTTCTTTTGGAAAATTATTTTTCAGCTCCCTTGTAGAGCTCTTAATATCTCGATGTGTTTTCTGTTTGGCCAGGCTGTTGATTTGTTTTTTGTTTTGCCCAGTATCCAGTATCTGAGGCTCAGAAGTAACAGCTCTAGGTACTGGTCTTGCATGACTGCATGAGATGTTTAATCACAAAATAAACTCCTGAGTCCATTCAGATGTGTTTTCTTTAACCTATATGGAAACCTTTGTATTGGAAGTGTACTTGTTGAAAACATATCTGTTTTTAAGTGCAGGGTTTTATAGTGTAATATATATAAAGAGTTAAGTGTGGGGTTTTTTTTTCTTTTTGAACTGAGGTTAAAAAAAGTAGATTCTGAGTGATTTTGCATATAGGATGGAGAAATGCTTGACTCTTTAAGGAGTCTACAGAATCTGCTCTTATCAAAGTGAAAATGCTTGTCGTTCTTCATTTTACACTAAAGCATAATGTCATGAAGTTTCATATCTGTACAGATTATTTAAGTCATAGAAATGAAAAATGTTCTCTGCTTGCTACCAAAGGACAAACTCTTGAAAACGGACATTTTCTGCCCTCCCTCCTCCAAAGAATATTAATAGGCATCAGTAGAAGAAGAAAAATAAAAGCATAATGGAAAATCCTTCAAGCAGGGATAAAAGTCGATCTTCAAACATAACTTACGTAGACCAAAAATTCTGATGATCACATCTAGATTATTTTTTTATAAAAATGATTTTCACTATAGCGATGTCAGTTACCACTAAGCTCCTGTCCAATTTCATGTGATGTGTAACTTTTACATGTGAAAATTAAAAGTAGATTTATCTGTCTTGTACTGTGACTTCTAGTGTGATTCCTTTAACACCATAGAATTGATTTAGGACCCTTTCCTTCCGGAAAGTCATATTTTCTAGGTGAGCTGTTAACTCCAGGGTTTGTGAACATCACACATTTAATGTAATAGGTGTTTTACATACCAGTGAGATGGGATTTTTAGAGTGGGAGAATTAAGTAGGATTTAATTGGGTGCTTTGTAAATAGTGAACTGTGTGTAAACGTGGTCTGTTTGATTTTTTAAAAGGAAAGGATTTGTTTCAGATTATACAAGAATAAAAGTATTATAGACCCAAGGGACTTTTTATGAAGTCAAAGTCAAATATTTATGGGGATATGAAATGTCACAGTCCCTAGCTGTCAGTCAAAGGGATAATACCTCAACAGAAATGAACAAAATGAGTATGAGCAGGTTAGAAATTAACCGAGGGTCTCTGAGAAACCTGTGTCTTTACCCCCCCACCACTAGTTCTTACCTTCAGCTCCTTCCCCAAGAATGTGATGTATCTGACATTGAACCTTATAAAATCAAAGCACTGCTTTTGGATGAGATTTGTGTTTAGTTTTTTTATTACGCATTCTTCTCACACATCAGGAGGAAAACACTTGGACACTGGTGGAATTCTAAAGCTGACAAATTCTAAGGATTGCATTCCTATTAAAAAGGGCACAATTCCTCCTTTTCTTTGGCGTTTTAATTCAGAGGGATTGTGTCACATGTGTGTCCTTTCCCTGGGACTGTGTGTTTATCATGCCTGACTGCTGAACCCTACCTAAGCTGTTCGGCAGGGTCTAAAACTCACATTGCTAGATTCTGAATCTTTAAGAAAAAAATAATGTTTAGATGTTTCTGGTGTTAGAAGAGAGATATTGGTGTTTAAATTTATATTTGAGCATACAAAAAAAAAAAAAAAAAAAAAAAAAAAAACACTGAAAGAAATGTGTTTTGAGATCCTGTTCCTGAGAGTTTGTATTTTTCTCTTGGCCCACTGAAGCAGAATTTGACATTTCTAAATAAAACCACTGCTCATTAAATAATAACAAATATCAAAAAAAAAACTATGCAGTTGTAGAAAATGCCACATTCTATGAACCATATTGCCTGTGCCCTAACCAGGCAATCAGATGATAGTGTGCAAATATCCAGATAGTGTGCAGATATTTAGCTTAACAAAAGAAAGTATCCTGACCTGTTTTTGGTAATTTGTAGAGTTTTATTGTATACGCAAAACCAAAGAATAAGGTTCATTTAAAACCCTGGAAGGAAAACGTATCCCCAGCCTAGGATGTTATTCCTAAAGTTGTTACAAGTCCCTGGCATCTCAGACATATTGTGATAAAGAAAACAACATACACTTTTTCATTTCAAAGAACTGACTGGCTTTGGTATTGTGTAATTCTTACTCAAGTTCATTGTCAAACTTTAACTGCATTTTTAGAACTTTAAAAAAAAAATTTTGCTCCCCCCCACCAGCCTGTTGTATTAGATGCCTCCTGTACTAATAAATCAATCTTCTCTGAGAAAAAGGATCCGAAGTTTGTGGTTTTTAATTGACTTGCACCGAGTTATGCAATTTTTCATTATCAGGAACATGTCCCTTGATGGATAGTCTCAATTATTTACCATGGTCCTAACCATGGGGTGAAAAATGTGTCTCTAAAATTGTGATATGAACAGGAAGAAAATCTAGTTGGAGTAGGGCTAGCTTTCCTACTTGATGGTGTCTGTTATGACAGGAAGCAGAGCTCCTAAACCCAAAGAGGGTGGTGCCCCGAGAAGGCTAGATCCAAAAAAAGAAAAGTACATAATAGACAGGAAAAAAATATTTCACAATAGTACAGAATCGAGTGAAACTGCCTTTGCCTTTCTAGTTGGCACATATTAATTATATACATGTTAATCAGCCCACATAGCCATTGGGTCTCCACAAGGCAAAGCACCTACCCTCCAGGCTCATGATGAAGGGAAATCTTCCCACTGTTACTCTGTTAAGTCCAGGAAATTAATTTGCAGTTTGAGTGAATCTTAATAGGGCTGTCCTCAGTAGGCTTCAGACCCACCTGAGTTCTTTCATTATAAGCCATGATATTCTGCTAAAGTACTGATTTTATTCATTAGAACCACTGCCCACAAGACTATAAAACTGAATTTCCTTCCAGCTCTACCTGGAACAAGACTTAGTACATATGTTCAATGACAGCTACTATTCACAGATGGGAACCTACTTATTGAGGGGTGACAACCTGGGGTCTCACAGGAGTCACTGGGACTACTGTAAATCTTGGGTGAAATCTTCCTAATGTGTTTGCACTCAATTTTATTTCTTATCCAGGCTCTTTTAAAAAAGAAAAAAATCTCTTAAGCACTAAAACTTGGATGTGGACTGCCTTACTAAAGGCCTTCTACACACCCCAAAGCAGAGTGATTGATGTAAGGGGACAGCCTGTATAAGAAAAGAGGTGTAAAATCCAAGGTTAACTTAGAAAGCCCCTCTGAGTAAAAAAAATAAAAAATAAAAAAGTGAATAAAAATTTAAAAAAGAGTCAAACACCACTGTTTCTGAGGGGGAAACAAAAAGTATTACCCGGATTTCACTAACTAATATAGTGCCAGAGACAATTTGATCTTCAAACGTCTAAATAAGGAGACCCAAGACACTTTCTATATATGAATCCACTGGTGTCTGGAATTTTTCCCATAAGAAATTCCCTACTTCAGATAGGAACTTTCTAAGGGATTCTATGCAAGCTCATAGGGAACTAAGATGTTATCATTGACTTTTAATTAGCATTTTATAATTCTTAATGACATAAAATGCTGGTTGGCATTTCTGACATGCATATTAAAGTCAAACTTTATAATTATATCTTTTGTTCCGAGTTTTAATTCCCAAGGTATTGAAATCTAATGGTTCTTCATACACATTCATGTTTCTTAAGTACTCAAATATCTGAAATATCTCCTGAACATTTTAAACATCTGCTGAAATATTTAAGATATTTCCTTAAATACTAGCTTTAAAATAGATGTTTTAGCAGTCAGTTGAGATACTACAATCATGGCTGTGAACCACACACAACAAATAGAGAGAAAAATGACTTTTGAAAGGGCCTGTATGAGATTTCCTCTATTCGCCCCAGTTTTCAATCCCTAAGTTTGGTAATTTCCACAAGTTTTCACTTCTCTTTTTCTTCCAGGTCCCCCCGCCCCCCCCCCCACTTCTTGGACTATTCTAACCAAGCATGTCATATTTAAGCAGGGGGCAGGATTAAAACAAAAACACGGATAAATCAATTACTGTGTTTAGAAAATGCTACAATGCTATTAGATCCTTGCAAGCTATCTCTTTATCAAGAGAAGGGAGATGTTCTCAATTGTATGTCAGACATCAGAGAGACCCCAGGAAACACAAACTTAACAGGCAAAGGGAAAACATGACTCGTGCATCCATCCTCAGAAACACTTTTCGTATATGCTGAGCCCGAGTACATGGTTAGATTGGAAACAAAGGAGACTCCGTAAGGTTGGAAGCCACCCATGTGTTTCCTTCTCATGGCCCATGGTACCTTGCTTTGTATTTGGTAGAACCAACAATGCCTCTTCAGACAGTTTCACCCCAGGATTCCTGCACAGCAAACCACTGAATCAGCTGTCCTCTGGTCCACCCTACTCTAAGCAGCAAGAGGTTT